TGGCAGGGATGGGCTGGGCTGGGCAGGGCTGGACAGGGCTGGGGTTTAAGCCTAGAACCTCCAGCTTGGCCTCTGCCCATTTGCTCCCCACTGGAGCTTGTGTTTAGCCCCAGGACCAGGAAGTTCCCACCCCAAGAGCCCTGCTGGGCAGGATGGAGCCCCCAGGAGGGCGCTAGGGAGGGGCTGCCAGGCACCGTCTCTCCTGGGGCATGGTGGAGGCAGGGGACCTCTCACACTTGTCTGAGAAGCGACTCCACGCAGGGCCTTTGAGGAGGAGCAGAAGCTCAGAAAGCAGGAGATCGTCAGTCGGATTCTAAAAGAGGAGGCTGAGGAGGAAAAAAGAAAGAAACAGCATCCCCTGACCAAGGCCACTCACCGGCCGACCCTGAGGGACAAGACCTGGAACTATATCTCCGACTATTGCGAGAAGAAGACCACAGCCCCAACCAACACGTACACACTGGTGAGCAAATGCCACACACCTGTGGAGGGCAGGTGGGGCCTCGGGGCTCAGGTGTGGTGAGACATCCTCTGAGGACCTCAGCACCACGGCCACCTGCAGGGGGTTGCTGAGCCCACTGAGTGGCCGCCACTCAGCTCAGGGGCAAGGGGACAAGACCCACCACATGAGAGAGGCCCATGGCCGCAGCATCCCCAGCAAGGGTCCAGTGTCCTCCTGGCCTCACCCCCAGCAGTGTTGCTGCCCACCAGGCTGGGACCACCTTGCCTGGCCCTGTAGAGAGCTGGGTCAGCCGCCTTGCCAGGGAGATGTGCACAGCCGTTCAGACCACATGCCTGGGATCACCCTGCTACAAAGCCCTCCTGATAGCACCCAGGGGACAGCTTTCCTGTCACTCATTCATTCACTCAGTCATTCATTCACTCACTCATCTTTTATTCATTCATTCATTCACTCATCATTCATTCATTCACTTATTCATTCAGTCATTCATTCACTCATTCACTTATCCTTTACTCATTCATTCACTCGCTCATTCATTCACTCATTCACTCACTGATTCACTCATTCACTCATTCATTCATTCACTCTCTCATTCGCTCATTCATTCACTCACACATTCACTCATTCACTCACTCACTCACTCACTCACTCACTCACATCCAGGGCCTGCTTGGTGTCCACTGCTGCTGCAGGCAACTGGCTTCAGTTGGGGGAATGTATTTCTAGTTTACTTTTCCCTAAAGGTGTGGGGTAGGGACGATGGTCCTCTCCTGAGTCTGGCACAGTGCTGCAGTCTCTGCCCTTGTGTACCCCAAAACCTGAAGGTCAAGGTCATTGCTCCAACAGGTGCCCTGCTGGGAAAGAGCAAGCCTTGGGCCGCCTCAGCTTTGGCCTCTGCAGGGTCTCTGTGGTGCCCCTCAGGGCAGAGAAGGTCCTTTCCTGCTCCCCAGCTCCCAGTGCTCGGACCAAGCCTCTGCCCCATCCACCCCTCACTGCCCGTCTCACGCCGGGGCCTTGGCACCTGCCAGTGCCTCTGCCGGGAGTGCCCTGCTGCCCTCCTTGCTCCAGAGAAGCCTCCCCTGCCCCCAGGCCCCCGCCGTGAGCTGCTCCCGTGATTTTCTGTGGCACCACCTGTATCACTGTGCGGGTCACAGCAGACAGCAGTGCACTGCCCCGTCCAGACTTCCTGTCTGT